TATCCACTTAGGAAGGAGCTTGCGAGAGATGTCTTTCTCAAGGCTGAATTCCGCGGCGGAGACCCAAACCAGATCGCCTGCGCTGAATGGGCAAGGGAGACGATTGCGGTTGGCTTGACGGCTAATCCGTATTTGCGTCTTTGACATCTGATCCCGTGCCTTGACAAGAAGCTCTTGCATGCGACGAAGGAACGCAAGATGGTCGTCGCTCTCGGCTATGCGCAGCAAAATGGCGTCCATGGGTGAACCATGCTCAAACTCGAATAGCGACATCCCGATAGCCGGATGGATTGATGAGTTGTAAGCCAACTCAACGTCTGGCAAGCGCTCAACCCAATCAACCTGGTCGGGACGGATGAGAGTGTGTAGAAGGACTTGAGCGGTCTGATGCGCTCTTTCCGTTTGACCATCGGTTTGCGGGTGGCGAGCGGAACTCGGCTTCAAAGATGAGCCCCATCGCTTGACGAGGGCGACCCAAAAGTCGGAGAGAAAGCGAGTGTCCCGGTCGCAAACGATCTCCTTGGGGTAGCCCTTGGAGCGAATCCAACCGGTGTATAAGACCTCGGCTAACTCTGGTGCCTTTGCGTGATAGCGGCAAGGCAAAAACATGGCGTACTTGGTGAGGCGGTCGACGACCGTGAGGATCCCATCAACGCCGGTCTTGTGCTTCGGGAAGGGGCTGGTGATATCCATARCRATYGCTTCCCGTCRCCCAAGGGGCACTGGTARTGGGTGTAGCTCGCCGAACGGACGATGGTTGCGTGACTTGCAACGCCGACAGACTTCGCACAACTCACAATAGCGGGTGGCGTCCTTGAGAAGGTCGGGCCAATAGAAYCGCTGGCGAAGTCGGCCAAGTGTACGATTGACACCAAAATGTCCGGAGGCGGGCGCATCGTGAAACTCGCCAAGAAGCCGTGTGCGCAAGTGTGAATCACTCGACACACAAAGAAGATCCTTACCCCGTGAATGCACAAGTAAGTAGCCCTCTTGGATCCGATAATGCGAAGGCACCGAATTCGGAGAGGAGCTATTCGCGTACTTGTCGTGAAAGTGGGGGTCGGCTTGATAGCCGCGGATGAAGCTCTCCCGCAAGTCGTCGTCGATCTCGAAGGTAGAGTAGACTGCGGTGCAAAGATCCGGTCGTCGTGAGAGGCCGTCCGCAAAACGGTTTGACTTCCCGGGAATGTGATCGGGGAAAAAGTCAAACTGGTCGA